GGATGGAGCAGAGTAAGGGGCATTATACGAGGGTGAGGTAGATGGTGGCTGAGTTGGGACGGAAGTGTGTTTGGGGAGGAGGAGGGAAGTTGAAAGTTGGTGGAGATAGATTGAGAACGATATGTAGAAGAAGAGAGGTGAATGGTGGTGTTGAGGCGGAGGATGAAGGTTTTGACGATTTGATTTGAATTACTTTCTCAAGAGGGATGGGTCTAGCTCGCTTATACCAGGTCGAGATCGGAAAATTAGCGAAGTCTTAGTATATATAACACCGGAATACTAAGATCTTGATGTGGCCGATTTCAACCAGATAAACGCGTGAACATAGGTACCGTCGCTTCCTCAATGATCGCCGAGAAACCCCTTTGGGCTGGCATCTTAATTTGTTACATTATCCCCGATGGTGCGTATCTCACGCATCCTCTTTAATATGGACACCCAGCCATGGACTCAATGCTCGCTCTTCGCTCCCTATCCCCTTGCAAAAACCCTCCATCGAGAGCATACAATATTACACTATCATCACACCCAAACCCTCTCCTTCTTCCCTTACTTCTTCGCAAACGCCTTCTGCCTTTCCGCATACTCCTTCACAACAATGGAGCAGTTCGCCTCAGCACAAAGCCTCTTCCTCCTCTGGACGGGCAACTTCTGGGCAAACTCCAACCCAGTTGCCCTCTCCACCGCCTCCAGCGGCACCTCAAAGTCCGTCAACGGCTTGTCATTCGGAATGACCGCGTTTGGCAGCACAAAAGCTCCCAGGGCCACCTTGCCCCCTCCAGCAGAAGCACCATCCTCCGCAAAAATAACCTTGTAAAAATGTGTCGGCACCGCCACATTCGGCGGATTCCCAATCACCTCATACCTCACATACCACTTATTATCCCCGGGATCCCTCTTCGGCAGATACAACGGCCCGGTCACCACCCTGACACTCGGATACGACCTCGTCAACCTCCTACAGAAATCCTCAAAGTGCGCCCAATAATCCCTGTTGAACCCCTCCCCCACCTGGGGGCACATGTTGCTCAGGTAAAACGTCTCGTCCATCGCCTTCTGCGACCACTTGCAGTCGGCGGCGGGTACCTGGTGGCCGCGGTCGTAGCCCGAGCGGAAGTAGTCTTTGAGCTTGGCTTGGAACTTGTCGGGGATGGCGGGGTCTTCGAGGAAGGTGCTGTTTTTGCGGTCGCCGTCGCGTTGCGCGAGGGAGGCGGGCGTGAAGTGCTCGGCAACCCAGTGCGGGTTTTTGGTGCGTCGGTCGTAGGAGGAGATGAAGGCTTGGCGAGTGGCGAGGTCCGCGACGGGGCCTGGGAAGCCGTATTCGAATAGGCCCGCGGGGTTGACGGGGCGGGGCCGGTCGGGGAGTGGTCGGGACGGGCGTGGGTGCCGGGCGGGGGCGGTGTTGGCAAAGACTTGCGAGGCGGGAATGGGGACGGAGGCGGCAGGGCGCTGGGTGACGGTGGTGGTGGTGGTGGGTGGTGAGGTCGGGCTTCTTGTCGGAGCGCATGGAGAGCACGGCGGCGGTGGCAGCTGCGCCGGCGCCGGCGCTCATGGCGGCGATAACCGCGATGGTGGCCTTGGACATGGCGGGGGTTGTCATATGGTGTTACGGCCCCAATTGGCAAATGTTGGAGGTCGGAGCGGCTGCCGCAGTTGTTGACGCGGCTGAAGCTGTGGTGGTGGTGGTCTCAGCCTGCCCCGTAAATTTTGCTGGAAGCTGAGCCGAGAGCTGCCCACGATCGGCAAGGGCCCCTGTCAGCCTGCGCTGTGGGGGTTATGGACCCACTTCGGAAGACCCCCCTAGCTCGACATCACGAGAGCATGGAAGTTCAACGGGAACATCAGTTCGGTGAAACATGCAGTTTTCTTCTTTTCGAATGGGAGCCGTCGATTATATATGCACGTGCTAACGAGGGAAGCCCTTGAGCCGTCAGGGTGTCGCCAGGCGTGTCGGTCAGCCCTGCCAGACGGTTGGGCGAGTCAACAGCCACCGATTTGCAATGGAACGTGGGATGGGATCAACAGTTGAAACACCCCTGTCGTGGGAAGCTTGAGTCCCGGATTGTGCTTGGCTCTCAGTCATGATGCCATCAACGTTCAATGGACCTACTTGGGTTCAACAGACAACACTTCATCATTTCTAGGGAATTCTGAATCTTGAACACTAGGCGTATGTCAGCGTTGGCTCAAAACGGTCAAAGGTCAAAAGTCAGCGACCCCTGTCGTCTTTCGTGCAAAAGTTGGCCCAATTCAGCAGGCGGGTCCTGGAGAAGGCGAGACGCCTCTGAAGGCAGTCGTTCACTTGTTCTCCTGCAGCCATCGAGGTTCTCACTTTCACCCGGGCACTCGACTCTCGCCTTTGTTGCGTTGCCGCCATTCTTTCTCGGCTGTCCATCCAACTGTCAAGACTACCCGCGTCCCTCAGCTCTCCCCCAGAATTTCGACGACATATCCTCCGCCATACTTGAATCTGACGCCACCCACCGCAAACTCTTCCTACATTGCCCCTACCTCCAGCCCTGACACCACAGTCCGGCCAGACTCCGTAGACAGCTCGGAGTTAGGACCGACACCATGGAGACCGCGGCCATGGGATCCGCCGCCATGGACAACGACACACGAGGCTGGGTCATGTGTGGCTTTAGCGGCCTAGGTACGCCTCTGATTACAGATGTGCTTCCGCTCGCTAACACCCGCCAGCATGCATCCTCGGCGCCTTGGTCATCTGCATCGACATCCCTATCCGCTTGCTCCCCGGCAAGCACAACTTTCGCATCCAGGAAAGCAGCGCCTTTCTTGCTTGCTCGCTCAGCCTGAGTTTCGGCGTCATGGTGAGCACCCTCGTTCTGCCCTTTCCGGACAGCCCGGATGCTGACTCGGCCAGCTTTTTTCCGCGTTGTATAGTATGCTGCCAACAGCTGCCCATTACCTCACCAAAGACGGCTGGGATCAGCAACTCGGCGGCTTCATAATGATGAGCTGCTTTGTTGGGGGCTTCTTTGGTATCCAGATCATCTCGCGCGTCCTGCACCAGTACATGCCCTCGCACGTCGTCGACTGCGATCACACCCACGAAGCCCTTCCAGATGAGGAGCTTGGCGGACACCACGCCCACCACGACCACCATGACCACAGTCACTCATGGTCACATAGGGGCAGCCAGCTTTCCGTGCAGCGCTTGTCCCCACGCCCGCGCCCACACATGATCCAAGTACACAGCACCGGCAGCATCACCGAGACGACGCCCCTAATTTCCTCCGAGCTCACGCCAAATGGCCATGTTCATACCGAGCTTCTTAACGGCGATTCCACTCCAGCCAGTGAAACCATCACTCATTTTTACTCCAACGACTCCCGTCCGCCCACACACCCCAGTCGGCCCTCCATGCTGCGCGTCAAGAGCCGGCTGTTGTCCTTCTTTAAGGACACCAAGGCGAACTGCGATGAAGACGGGCCCTGCTACGGGTACTCGGACCCCTGCGGCCAGGAATGCTTCAAGCACGTCGGCACGCGTTCCGCCCGGACGGGTGTTCTCCGCTCCGCCACTGGCCTCATCCCGACGCCCTCAGCCGAGACCTGCGACGAGACCTACGACGGCTCCCTCGACAGCTCACACTTTCGCATCAGCCACTGCCACTCCCATACCCACAGCCACCCCGACTCTGACGAGCATCACACCCACGCCCACCTCCCAGTTGACGACATCTCCTCCTCCTCCTCTGCCTCCTGCTGCTCCCACCCCGACCCCAACCTCACCCCAAACCCAACACCACCACCATGTCCCCACCAACGCCTTCCTCTCCATCGGCTTACAAACCGTCATCGCCATCGCGCTGCACAAATTCCCCGAAGGCTTCATCACCTACGCGACCAACCATGCCAACCCTTCCCTCGGCTTCAACGTCTTCATGGCCCTCTCCGTGCACAACATTGCCGAGGGTTTCGCCATGGCTCTTCCCCTGTACCTCGCGCTCGGCAGCCGTTTGCGCGCCGTGTTCTGGGCGGCACTTTTGGGGGGTTGCAGCCAGCCGCTCGGGGCGGCGGTGGCCGTGGCGTGGTTTAGGATGGCGCGGAGGTCACATCTGGAGATTGATGCCACGGCGTATGCGTGTTTGTTTGCCGTGACGGCGGGTATTATGGTGAGTGTGGCGTTGCAGCTGTTTGTGGAGAGTTTGGGATTGGGGCATAGTAGGAATTTGAGTATTTTTTGTGCGTTTCTGGGGATGACGGTGCTGGGGGTGAGTAATGCTTTGGTTACGGAGTAGGGGGATTCACTGGGATGAGTTGAAGGGGGGAGGTGCATTGGGTTGGCGTTCTTGTGTCTTTCTGGGTTTTGTGGCGGGATGTTGTTGGATCGGGGAAGGTAAAGGGGTAAAGAATGGAAACACAGGAATAGATGGTGGTTGGCATATAACGGCGGGCGTTCTTCGGCTACCTATTTAGGTGTTGTTGGATAAGGAGGGTCGGTGTTCATCAAACACCGGTTTATTCGATACTCGAATGCATAATCATCATTCGACTTCGCAGAGGTGCTCGTGTGGGTATAATGGCGTGGACAGGCATTACTGCCCATGTGAGACCCGGAGTACCTACCACCTTCGTACTCGGGACTTACATGGTTCATAAGTTGGAATTGGGGAGGGGGCTAATTCCCTTTGGGGCAGATTGGTGCGAAGTTTGATGGGCAAGAAACAGGATGCTGATGTCTGGCCTCCATGGCTTATGGAATTGAGCTCTCTGGTCTTGGTTGCAGTTCAACCGTATTGTATGGAGCCTCTGGCTTTGCCAGAAAGGAGGCTGCTTTTTGGGGCCCGTCTCCCACCAACCCTCTCTCACTTGAGATGTTCCCTGTTCTCATTACCAAGCCCATCTCCCATCTCATCAAGCAAAAAAGCAGCTCACCCTTCCCTTCCAGATCCATCTCCTCTCCAACTTAAAACCCTCTCCAGCTTCCAAAAACAAAACTCTGACATTGGGGGAAATGGCCAAAAAGTGAAAGCTGCCTATTACAGGAATCGAACCTGTGATCTTTGCATGTCGTCGACAAGCGAAACCCAGTGTGAAGTGGGCTCTCTCGTACAAGTGCAACGCATTAGCCACTATGCTAAACAGGCTTTGAGTGCTTTACTGGGCGGGTTGCGTGAAATGAGGGGTTATGAAGGCATCCACATACCCACTTTGTCATCGACACACAGCGGGCGTGGTAACAACACCAACACTCAACATCAGGTCCCAAGTCCAACTCGCAACGAAGAGGACAAACTTCACCCACACATCAAGCCCAAATCACCAAAAAGAGAAGGTCTCAAAAATGCATACCATTGCTGTATCGCTTTGCTCTGCCCTCCTCGACTCAACTACCTCTGCTCGCCAATGTATGTTTCACATCCTAAACCCAACAATGATACTCAAACAATCCCATCACCACCAATCCCCTTCCCCCGTAAGCGCCTACACATTTACCATTCACCACATTTATCTTCACACTTCTTGAGAACCGAAACGAAAACCATTCTTTCTCTCCCTCCCTCCCTTTCGGTCCAACCATCACCCCAACCGACCGACCATCCTCAGTCCTATCCCGCCTACCAAACGAAGGGAAAACAAGAACCAACATTAAACGCCAGAGCCCTCTCCCAGAATAGAAGTCCCGTCCACCCAAAGCGAGACGCAATGAAAACCACCGCCTCTCTTTCTCTCAATGGCCTCTCTACCAAGCACATAGCCCACACAGCCACAAGTCACATCACTCATCAGCGACAGCCCATGGCTAATCCAAATCACTCCCCCCATTCAACACCCCATTCCCATCCCCAACCCCAGCAACAGCAGCAGCATTCGCAGCGGCATTCGCAGCACTTGCGGCAGCCGCCGAGCTACTTGAAGAGACCAGCTTGATGCGCGTCGTGGTGGTCGTGGTTGGAGCGGTGGGTGCAGCCGGCTGGGGCGTGCCATCCGTAGCAGCGGTCGAGGGCGGGAGCGAGGGGTCCTTGACTGAGGATGTTGATGATGAGGTCGACGGGTCTTCGAGGGCGCGCAGGTCCGGGTTTTCGGAGAGTTCTTTTTCGAATTGGGATTTGAAAAATGACTGTGGGACCGGGGTTAGTGAGTTCTTGGTGAATGGGGATGGGGTGGGAAGGGGAGAGGAAGGGGTTACCTCTATCAGATTCACGTCCTGGCAAATTCCACTGCTCTCCTCGTTGAACGTGCGGCAGTTGCGCACCAGCTGGTCCAGATCCCGGCGCATGTCCGCCAGGCTCTGGTACTCCTTGCTCTTGATGCGCTTCTGGATATCGTTCATGCAGATGGGGTTGGTGATGATGACGTAGTAGTCCTGCCAGTCGCGCTTGGGCGGGAGTTTGACAAAGGGGCCGATGATGAGGCGTTTGGGCGGCTCGTCGTCGTCATCGTCGTCCTCGTTCTTGTCCGCCTCCGGCTCGTCGTCGTCGACTTCAAGGTTCATCAGGCCGTCGAAGATGCGCCGCAGGCTTTTCTGCAGCTTCTCGCGAATGTCGCCCGACATCCGGCCGTCGCCGCCGCCGCTGCTGCCGGCGGTGCTCACCGCCTTCGGACGTCCCTGCGGTCCGCGGCGTTTCTTGGCAGGCGGCTCATCGTCGCCGTCCTCGGCCTTGCGCTTCTCCTGGTTCTTGCTGCCCGGCTTGCGGCCGCGCTTCTTGACCGGCGTCGTCTCGACCTCCTCGGTGCTGGCGCGACTCGGCGCCGGCGAGTTCTCCATCGACGCGTTGTTGAGGATCGCAATCTTCTTGAGTTTGTTGGTTTCGCGACGCTCCTTGCGCGCGTTCTTCCGCGCCGCGGCCGCCTCCGGCGAATCGTCGTCGTCGTCCACCGCCATGAGCCACTGCTCCTCCGTGAGGCCGTCGTCGTACTTAACCTTGGTACGCTCACGGGCACCGCGACCGAGAATCACCTCGGCCTCCTCCTCAACCGGGTTGCCCTCGTTGAGGTATATGTCCGGCAGCTCGTCCTCGGCCATGAGACGCGGGACGCTCTTGCAGCCGGGGAGCGTGCCGTACGTGGGGTCGCGATACCTCTCCTCGTCGAGCTTCTGGAAGACGACAACCTCCTCATCGCTACGCGCAAGAATCAGGTTGAGCTCCTCATCGTCCATCTCTTCCTGCTCGCCCGCCTCGGCCATGTCTGCCGTCTCCAGGAGGGTCCTGAGCATGGCGTCACGATCCGTTTCCGAGGACTTGTTGTCAAAACGACCGGCCTGGATGACCTTGCCGTCCATGTCAAGCTTGAATCGGGCGCGCTCCAAGATCTTCTCTTCGACGGAGGCAGAACTGATAAGTCTGAGAATGCGCACTTCGTTCTTCTGGCCGATACGATGAGCACGATCCTGAGCCTGCAAATCCTGGTGAGGATTCCAGTCAGAGTCGTAGATAATGACCGTGTCGGCAGTCTGCAAGTTCAGACCCAGACCACCAGCACGGGTGGAGAGGAGGAACATGAAGTACGGCGAGTCGGGACGGTTGAACTCCCTCAGGAGATCCGACCGGTCTTCCGACTTGGTGGTACCATCGAGGCGGAGGTACGAGATTCCACGGAACCGGAGGAAGTCCTCCATGATGTCCATGATAGCGGTCATCTGGAAGAACATCAACACACGATGGCCCGTGGCCTTGTACTTGGGCAGAATCCTGTCGAGAAGCTCAAACTTGCCAGCCGTTCTCCAGAGAAGATCGTTGCTGGTATTGGTGGGGTTCATCTGGTTTTCGACTTCGTCAAACACGAACGGATGGTTGCAGAGCTTGCGAAGCTGCATGATCATGTTGCTCAGGCCGCGGGCACCGGTCTTGCCGCCCTTGCCATCGCTGACGGCAATCTTTTGGTGCGTAACCATCTGCTTGTACAGGCGGGCCTGCAGCGCAGAGAACTTGCACTTGATGACCTTCTCCGTCTTGTCCGGAAGATCCTTCTCGACATCCTTCTTGAGACGGCGCAGCAAGAACGGCCGCAGCACCTTATGCAAGCGACGGATGACGAGAATCTGCTCTTCTTCCGTGAGCTCCATCTTGTCTTGACCACCCGTGTTTGCGAACGGAGTGTTGAACCACTCATCGAAGGTCTTGGCCGACTTGAAGATGTTGGGCAGGACAAAGTTGAGCATGGACCACAGCTCGGCCAAATTGTTCTGCAGAGGGGTACCGGTGAGAATAAGGCGGAACCGAGTGCTGTAGTACTGCTGGATGGTGGCGCTCAGTTTCGAGTTGGCGTTCTTCATGCGGTGGCCCTCGTCGATGATCATGTGGAACCACTTGATCTTGCTCAGCAGCGGCCGGTCCTTTATGATGTACTCGTACGTCGTGAGCAGAACCTGAAAGCGGCCCTGGCGGATCTTCTCCTGCTGCAGCTTCCTGGCGTTCGGGGGACCCTTGTACACCACCTTCGCAACCGAAGGCGCCCACTTGTCGAACTCCAGGTTCCAGTTGGTAAGGGTACTGAGCGGAACAATGACCAGGTACGGTCCGTTCTGATGCTTCTTCTCGATCAGGTACGTGATTAAGCTGATGGTCTGGATCGTCTTGCCGAGACCCATTTCATCGGCCAGAATACCGTTGAGGTTGTTGTTGTAGAGTGATATCATCCACTGCAGGCCCTTGATCTGGTACTCCTTCAGGTTGCCGCCAACCAGTATGTCGGCCTGCCCGGTCACTTCTTCCTTGATGCGGTGAGCAACAGCATAGTAGTCGATCTTGCGGTTCCTTTCTTCGTCTTCCTCTTCGACTTCGCTCTCCTCGGCCTGAAGATCCTCGTTGCCGTAACGCTCTGCGGCCTGCCGCTGCTGGGCACGCACGGACGAGGCGAGCTGGTGCAAGAAGCCATCGGTCTGGCGAAGCAAGTGGGTGATACGGGTATCCTTGGCCTGGTCGAGCAGCTTGAGATAGGCCTCCTCGTCATTGGCCTTGAGGGCCTGCAGACGCTGCTTGGCGGTCCGCTCAATCCGTTTCTGCTCTTCCTTCTCGATGTTGAAGTGGTGGCCGTACATGATACGGCTGAGCTTCTGCATCTTGCCGCGCTGGGCCTGGCCCGAGTTGAGGACCTCGTTCCGGTGGTTGTTGACGGCCTGCAGAAAGTCGAGGTGCTTCTTGCGCTCGCGGTTCTCCCGAGCGTCGCGCTGCTGCTTCTCAAGCTTTTCGGTGATGCGTGCTTCCCGGACGTTCTGCTTCTTCATGCGGCGGTATTGGGCACGGTTTGTGGTCATGGCGAGATTATCGTAGTGCATCATCTGCTTCCCAATCCTGTCCCTCAAGGCGCGCTGCTTTGAGTAGAGAGCCAGCTTCTTCATCTCGATGATGGCCTTTCTCTTGGCCGCATCGTCGGCCACAAGAACATCCTGCGACGCGTCCCAGTGTGCCAGGTTGCCCGGGAGCGACTTGAGCTCCGAGTAGCGCGCGCTCATGCGATTGAACACAATCTTCTCGCGATCCGCCCTCAGCTGCTCAAAGTCGATGCCAGTGGGAAAAATTCCAGGAATCATGAGACGATTTTTACGGCGCCCATGATCCATGTACGAGATAGTCTTGCGCACCTGTTCACCATATGGCGACCTGACTCTCTTGAATGAGTTGCGCTGGTGATCGGATGCGGTTTCATCTTGGGCATCCTCGGCGGGCTTGGGGCCGTCTTGTGTAGGCGTGTCCGGCGGGGCGGTTGCGGCAGAGGCTTGTGTATCTTGCTTGATCAGAGACGCGCGGCGCCGTGCCCGGTGTCCGAGGATGGCCTTCTGCATCTGGGGGGGGACGCCCGAGTTCTTGCTGAGCAATTTGAACGCCTGGATTTGTGTCCAGAGCAAGTTTATCTGCGCTGGGGAAAATTGGCCGGATTTCAAATTTTGAGCAGGCGCAGTAGCGGCTATGTTGGTCGGACCGGCGTTCGAGGTCGCGGGCAAAGCAGAAGCGCCTAGTGAACTGCTTGATGGAGGCACCGTTGTCTGAGCACCGGCCGGCTGGGCGGCGCGAACTGGCTGGGCTCCGTTGACAGCACCATTTGCGCCATTCTGCACTGCCTGCTGCTGCAACTGTTGCTGCTGCATCTGCATCTGCATCTGATGTTTCCTCAAATCGGTCTGGCGCTGGATGGCAGAAAGGAC